AATTCACTCACCTCAGCCTCCCAAAGGCGCGGGATTACAGGCTGAGTCACCGAGTCCGGCTTGCAACAAATGTTTTTAAATGCTCTAGTGTCAAGCCTTCAGGAGAACTGACACGGTAGCAAAACTTAACTACTGGTCGCTGCCTGGACGGACTGCCATCAGTCATGCTTTTGACGTAGGTCTGTTAGGGATCCTGATCTCACAAGTGACTCTTTTCTCTGGCACTTCTTTTGTGTCCAAAGGCTCCTTCCCTTACCCTGATGAGGAGGGTGTGTCTCTCTCCATCTGTGATGTCTGCTTTTTATGAAGGGAACCTGAGGGGCACCCCAGCCCCCACTCCTCAGGCCTAAGTAAAACTCAGTCAATAGAAGCTGTTTTCTCATCTTGACTTGTTTAATTTTTTCAACCTTAACATTAAATTTTTATTTCAATTTTTTTTTTGAGTTGAGGTCTCACTCTGTTGCCCAACCTGGAGTACAGTGATACAATCACGGCTCACTGCAGCCTCAAATTCCTGGGTTCAGGAGATCCTTCTGCCTCAGCCTCCCAGTAGCTAGGACTACAGGTGGGCGCTATCATGCCCAGATAAGTTTAAAAAAAAATTTTGTTGAGATGAGGTCTCATTATATTTCCCAGACTGGTCTCGAATACCTGGGCTCAAGCAATCCTCCCACCTTGGCCTCCCAAAGCTAATAACTCCCATGCCTGGCTAGTTTTTGATTTATTATAGAGATGAGGTCTCGCCAAGTTGCTCGGGCTGGTCTCGAACCCATGGGTTCAGGCAATCCACTCGCCTCAGCCTCCCAAAGTGCTGGGATTATAGGCTGAGCCTATAATCTAGAATATGGACTTTCTCCAGCATCACCTGGGTGCTTGTAAGAAACTCAGTATCGCTGTGTTTCAATTGATTTGAATCAATTGAAATAACAAATTAGCTGGGTGTGGTAGCGCGCGCCTGTAGTTCCAGCTACTTGGAAGGCTGAGGCAGAAGGATCGCCGGAGCCCAGCAGGTCGAGGCTGCGGTGGCCGGGAGCGGCCACTGCACTCCAGTCTGGGTGACAGAGTGAGACTCCAACTCAAAAAAAAAAAAAAGGAAAGAAAGAAACACAGTATCTCAGCCCTACCCAGACCTAACTGAATTGAAATCTGCATTTTAACGTATCTCCATGTGATTCATATGCACATTCGAATTTAGGAAGCACTTCCTATATAACCAGAATGCCATTATTGCACAAGCAACCAATAATTCGCTCATCCAGATCTTTACTGTTCTTGTCTCTTTTTTTTTCTTTCTTTGAGTCGAAGTCTTACTCTGTTACCTGGGTTGGAGTGCAGGGGCATGCTCACGGCCACCACAGCCTCTACCTGCTGGGCTCAGGTGATCCTCCCACCTCAGCTTTCCAAGTAGCTGGAACCACAGGCGCGCACCACCATGCCCACTTAATTTTTTTATTTATTGTAGAGATGAGGTCTCACCAAGTTGCCTAGGCTTGTCGCGAATCTGTGGGCTCAAGCAATCCTCTCACCTCTGCTTTCCAAATCACTGGGATTATGGGCATGAGCCATGGCGCCTGGCCTGCTCTTGTCTTTGAAAAGCACTGACAGTTAAATGTTGATTTGAATCAAATGCTTACGATCACCCACTAACTGTTGCTAAAATACATTTATTTTTTAATCATCTATTCTCTGTCTGCCTTCCCCTTCCCCGCCCTTTCCTGTCCCCCCTCTGCCAGGAGAACTCATGGATGGCCGTAGGGGCCTGGTCCCTTCCAATTTTGTGGAGCGTGTGTCTGATGACGACCTCCTGACCTCCCTCCCTCCGGAGCTGGCTGACTTGTCCCACAGCTCAGGCCCTGAACTCAGCTTCCTGAGTGGAGGTGGGGGTGGCAGCAGCAGCGGGGGCCAGAGCAGCGGGGGACGTAGCCAGCCCAGACCTGAGGAGGAGGATGCAGGGGACCAGCTCAGTCTGAGCCCCGCACCCGAGGGCCTGGGCGAGCCTCCAGCTGTGCCTTACCCCCGCCGCCTGGTGGTCCTCAAGCAGCTGGCCCACAGCGTGGTGCTGGCCTGGGAGCCTCCTCCTGAGCAAGTAGAGCTACGGGGCTTCCATATCTGCGTGAATGGGGAGCTGCGTCAGGCTCTGGGGCCCGGGGCGCCGCCCAAGGCTGTGCTGGAGAACTTGGACCTGCAGGCCGGGCCCCTCCATGTTTCTGTCCAGGCCCTGACCAGTCGGGGCACCTCCGACCCTCTGCGTTGTTGCTTGGCGGTGGGTGCTCGGGCTGGATTGGTACCCAGCCGGCTGCGGGTCCATCGGTTGACAGCCACATCTGCTGAGATCACCTGGGTGCCCAGCAATAGCAACTTGGCCCATGCCATCTACCTCAATGGGGAAGAGTGCCCACCTGCCCGCCCCAGCACCTACTGGGTCACCTTCTGTCACCTACGGCCTGGCACACCCTATCAGGCCCGAGTGGAGGCTCAGCTCCCACTGCAAGGGCCCTGGGAACCAGGAAGGGAGAGGCCGGAGCAGCGGGCTGCCACCCTGCAGTTCACCACACTCCCAGCAGGTAGGCAGGCCGGGCCCTGGTGTCCCTAACACCCAGGAGGCCAGGTGACGGAGGAAGGGGGAAACTGGCCCTATCTGTGTCACGGGGGAAGTGGCAAACTGGGCTGGTGTCTCTGGCAGGGAGTGTCTCACATGACTAGGTCTTATGTCCCCTCTCCCCTAGGCCCACCCGATGCCCCTCTGGATGTGCAGATTGAGGCAGGGCCCTCCCCCGGGATCTTGATCATCAGTTGGCTCCCAGTCACTATCGATGCTGCTGGCACCTCCAATGGCGTCCGGGTCACAGGCTACGCCATCTATGCTGATGGGCAGAAGGTATGGCCCGGGGGCTCTGCCTGCCATACCCTGGGAGTGGATATGGGTCCTTCTTTGCCATGCTCAGAAGCCTAAGCTCCCTGGCCTGGCACAGAGAGGCCTAGACCCTGTCATTTGGGCACCATGTGGCAGATTGGTTAAGAACATGGGCTTTGGCAGCACATGACGTCTTTGAAAACTGTTCCACCACTGAAGCCATGTGGCGAGGAGGATTAAATGAGATAAGGCATATCAGCGCAATGCCTGGCACCACGCTAGCTGCGCTGTTGTTGCATCCTCACACTGGGCTCTCTCAGCCTCCCCCTCCTCTCCTGTGTTCCCTTGACCCTGCAGATCATGGAGGTGGCCTCGCCCACTGCAGGCAGTGTGCTGGTGGAGTTGTCCCAGTTGCAGCTGCTGCAGGTGTGCCGCGAGGTGGCCGTGCGCACCATGTCGCCCCATGGCGAGTCGGCCGACTCCATCCCAGCTCCCGTCACTCCAGCCCTGGCTCCGGCCTGCCTGCCAGCCCAGGTCTCCTGCCCCTCACCACGGCCAAGCCCAGAGGCCAGACCACCCCTTGCTCCAGCCTCCCCAGGGCCTGGAGACCCCAGCTCTCCTCTCCAGCACCCTGCCCCCCATGGAACTCAAGAGCCCCCAGGACCCCCCCCAGCAAGCCCTCCCAGAGAGACACCGAAAGGGTCCCAAGAGGAACCTCCAGCACCTTGCTCCCAGGTATCCTGTCTGGGGGAGGGAGAAGCCGGTGCAGGCTGGGAGAGGGGAGTGGGGCTGGGCCCTTCCTCAGCATGCTCTGTTCCAGGAGGAGGCTGGGGCAGCTGTGATGGGCACCTCAGAGGAGAGGAGAGCTGGTGAGCCAACCCTGGGCAACAAGGGTCCTGGCCCTGCAGCTCCCTCACCAGCTGAGCAGCAGACAGAGTGGACTTCGGGAGAGGCCTGCCCAGCACCCTGCCCCACCCAGGGAGCACCGGCCCAGCAGGTGCCAAGTACTGAGGCAGGCCAAGGAGGAGACCCCGGGTCTGGGCTGAGGCCCCGGGCTGAGGTAGGGGGTTGGGACACACTGTGTCATCTCAAAGAATCAGAGCCTGTCTCCCGGCCTTTTGCCAGCCTAAATCTGGTCACTGTCTCTGCCTGTCCTCTGCTCTGACCCAGCTCTGATACCTTTGTCTGTGCTGTGTGTCTGTTTCTTTGTTACATTTTTCTTCCCAGATTTCTCTGCCCCCTTTGATTCCCATCCCCCTTCTCCCACCCCTGCACCCCCCATTGTGTGCACCCCTCATTCTGGACAGGACTCTTTCTCCCTCTGTCAAGGGACCCCTTTTATTGTGGCCGGGGCTGACCCCACGTAGACCTCTTGTGCTCCCTCACTGCCCTTCCCATCTCTGCTGCCTTGTTTGGTCTCTTGCAGAGGGAGGATATAGAGCTCGGGGTTCGTCTGGGGAACTCTCTTGTGGACCACAGCCGCAACTCAGACCTGTCAGACATTCAGGAGGAGGAAGAGGAGGAGGAGGAGGAGGAAGAAGAGCTGGCTTCCAGGACTTGCTCCTCCCAGAAGCAGCCTGCTGGCAATAGCATCAGGGAGAATGGGGCCAAGGTAACGGATGAGGAGAGGCAGGCGGGCCCCAGACCTCGGGCTCCGGGGCCTCCACCCCACATGTCAGCAGCTGCTCTAGCCACCACTGAGTGCCACCAACATTCTAGGTCTGAGGCCTGGGCTCTTCCTAAGCAGCAAGCAGGAAGTGGTTCAGGAGCTGCCTCGGCCCTCCTGGGGAGAAAGGGGAGGAGGAGGAGAAGCTCTTTTCCTCACCCTCTCTCTCTCCAGCTCACCAGATGCAGCGTCCTGGCCAGGAAAGCTGGTGGCATCTGAGATTTTTGTGCTGGGAGCTTCTGGGGAGGGGATGGGAGGCCTCTGCACTACAACAGGCATGACCTGCTCCCCCATGCTCCTGGCGCACAGGGGCTGGGGCCTGTCCACTTGGGTGTGTTCCCTGGTTCTTCTTCTGGCTCTGCCTGGACATGTGTGTGACTTTGGGCTAGCCACTGTCCCTCTGGTTCTTTCCTCTTGGAGGAGGCTGACGGGGGGCTATGGGGTTGCCCGTAACCCCTGCCCTCGTGTGAGGACACAGATCATAGCTCTTCTCTTCCCCACGCACCTCTCTTCCCCGCTACTGTCTACTCCCACCCTCTCCCTTCCCTCAGCCCCAGCCAGACCCCTTTTCTGAGACTGACAGCGACGAGGAGATCTTGGAGCAGATCCTGGAGCTGCCTGTCCAGCAGTTCTGCAGCAAGAAGCTCTTTAGCATCCCCGAGGAGGAGGAAGAGGAAGTCGAGGAGGAGGAGAAGCCAGAGGCAGGCCCTTCTTCCCGAGACTCTGGCCCGCCTGAACCTGCATTGCTGGGGCTGGGCTGTGACAGTGGTCAGTCCCGAGGACCTGGCCAGTGTCCCTTGTCTCCTGAGCCCTCCAGGGCCGGGGACCGCCTGGAGGACATACCAGGACTAGTTGGTGGAAGCAGCCGGAGGAGAGTAGGGGGCTCCCCTGAGAAGCCTCCAAGCCGCAGGCGGCCTCCAGATCCCCGTGAACACTGCAGCCGACTTCTCAGCAACAGCGGGCCCCAGGCCTCTGGACGACCAGGCCCCATGAGGGAGAGGGGTGGCCTCCCTGTGATTGAGGGCACCAGGGGTGGACCGGAGGCTGGTGGGAGAGGGCGGTCGGGCCCTTCCCGGAGGTGCCCCCGCGGCCAGGCCCTGGAATCTGGCCTGGCCAGCTGCCTCTCCCCCAAGTGCTTGGAAATCAGCATCGAATACGATTCAGAGGACGAGCAGGAGGCGGGCAGCGGGGGCGTCAGCATCACCAGCTCCTGCTACCCTGGAGATGGGGAGGCCTGGGGCACCGCACCGGTGGGAAGGCCCAGAGGGCCTCTGAAGGCCAATTCAGGCCCCAACCCCTACCCACGCCTCCCGGCCTGGGAGAAAGGGGAGCCAGAGCGGAGAGGCCGCAGTGCGACGGGCAGAGCCAAGGAGCCACTCTCCCGGGTCCGTGCCCGCCTCCCGCCCTGGGCAGACCCTGCCTGCTGCCGCCTGGTGGCCCTGCTTGCTGCCCACCAACCGCTCCCATTCCACGCTGCCGCCTCCATCAGCAGAGGTGGGGCCGGGCCTCCGGACTCCCTCACCCGCCTTCTCCCACCCGCATTCCACTGCTTCGCTGCTTCTGCTGATCAGACTGGGATGCACAATATTCTTGTCGCTAGTCGCCTGCTGCTGCCTTCACGAAGGGTCACCCTTTCCTCTGCGTAGCTAGTTATGGCTTCAGGACACTGACTGTGATGTCCAGGGTCACCCACCCTGATGCTGACAGGAGGTCCTCCTCTCACACGCTCCTCGGCTAAAAGCAGTCCCCTCTGCTGCACTCATCTTCCAGTGGGCTGGGGCTGGGGCCTCTCCTTCTGCCCATCCTCTCTCTGTGGACATGTCTGGGGTCGCCAGCTGGGTCCTGGTTCCAGTAGAGGAAGGCTGTGCTCCTGTTCTGCTATGTTGCTTACGCTGATGGGGCAGAGCTGGGGGAGTGTGGGCTTGCCAGAGGGATGGTGTGTCACTTTTTCCATCTGTTGCCCTCTCTTTGCAGGTAACAGAGACTGGGGAGCCCAGAGGGCAGGACAGCTCTGGGCGGAGGGACCCCCGGAAGAGAGGGACCCGAGCCCCCAGGCCAGGCACTGCTGAGCTGGGTGAGCCCCAATGGGGGTTGGGCTAGGCTGGGCTGGACTAGGCTTTCCTAAACCCTGGGCCAGAGCTCACTGAATCCCTGCCCTCTCTCCATTCATTTCCACAGTCCCTCCGAGGAGTCCCCCAGAAGCGCTGACTTACCAGGACCTACCTGTCAGGATCTTTGTGGCTCTGTTTGACTATGACCCTGTGTCAATGTCGCCTAACCCTGATGCTGGAGAAGAAGAGCTTCCCTTCCGGGAGGGTCAGATCCTGAAGGTGACTGACTCGCTATCTGGGCCCAGAGTTCCAGGCTCTAGCTAGGTCCCCCCTCCTCCTTCCTTTCTTCCCCTGGATGTACTGTTGAGTCATGGTGGAGAACACAGCTTCTAGAGCCAGATGATGGGGTTTGGACCGCGACTCTGCTGGTTCTAACTGTGTAAACTTGAAAAGATTGCCTAAGCCCTCTGGGACTCAGTTTTCTCATGGGTGAAATGGGGATATTATTTTCTACCTCACAGGGTTGTTTGTGGATTCAATGATCCAATGTACATAAGGCACTTAAACTGCCTGGTGCATAGCATCATGTAACTGTTTGCAGCTGACACTACTGTTTTTATTATTCCTTCCAATATTGATGGAAAGCTTTTTGCTGTTTCTCTGAGGTTAGGGAGATTCAGTCTGGGATGGACAGAGGAAATGGGTGAGGATGATACAGAAAGGTCTGTTTTCTCTTTTCCTGCTGACTCTGTTCTTTGCTGTTTTCCTTTTCTCCATTCCACACCTGCAAAGGAAGAGCATTCTTCTGCAGTGCCTAGTGGGGTACTTCTGGGTCTGGGGCCTGGGGGCACAGGCTGAGCTGGCCTCCTGAGATCGCTGGTCTTTGCCATCAGGTGTTTGGGGAGAAGGATGCTGATGGCTTCTACCGAGGGGAAGGTGGGGGCCGGACAGGCTACATCCCCTGCAATATGGTGGCCGAGGTGGCCGTGGACAGTCCTGCTGGGAGACAGCACCTGCTGCAGCGGGGTTATATGTCTCCAGATATTCTCCTTGAGGACTCAGGTATGACCTGCTGCTTCCCTCCCTCACCTCCCACCACCCCAGTTGCAACTCCTCTCCACCCTGAGTCATTAGTGTGTCTGGGGTGCTCCATTTACCCAGAGCCTAATAGAACCACAGAACCTAGCAGGCCTTGGGGCAGAGGATGGCCACACTCACAGGCTGGCTGCATGGAGCAGGAGTCTGTAGTTGCTGAGGGGATGGGCCTGTTTTGGAAAATACAGTGATGCTAGTGAATTTGGGGTCCTAGAGGTCAGATGGGAGGTGAAGGCCCTTGAGAAATGAGTTCAGGCACCCAAACACAGCCCTGAGAGAAAACGCGAGTCACTGTCCTACCACCTTCTGCCCCATCTCTTTCTCTTACATCTACTTGCCTTCCTGGATCAGGGAACGGTCCCTTTGTGTACGCCACAGCGGGCACAGCTGGGCCTCCTCCCAAGCCCCGCCGCTCCAAGAAAGGTGAGTAAGACTCCATTCTCCCTCAGTGGCCTGTGAGGATGTGTGTGTGGGTAGGCATGGCATTGCTTGGCTCTAGGGGGAGACCCTTGTGTGGTTTTGAGCAGGTAAAGGGAGTCAGGGCGGACTTTACCACATCTACCCCCCAAGTGGAGGATTTCGTTCGGGTGGGAACAGGGGTCAGTTCGCAGAGATCTCTGTCCCCGCAGGCACCTGACTGTAAAATCTGTGCAACCTGGTGCATGTCATTTGCCCTTTCTGGGCCTTAGTTCCCTGCCAAACCAAAGGGTTGGGTGGTTGTGCTCCCGAGCCTCCTTCTCTCCTGCATCCCTTGTGTGAGGACGAGCATCCTGCCTGCCCTGCTCTACCCCAGCCCAGGATGATAAGGGAAGGGAGGGATGGGCCTCACAGGCACATTCTCTTCACAGCTGACTTGGAAGGCCCTGCCCAGCTCTGTCCAGGTGAGGGGCCATCCTGGGACAGGGGAGACGGGAAAGAAACGGGATAGGCAACCCCTCTTGCCTCTCCCCAGGGGCTACAACTAATGGAGGGTGGTAACAGGGGGTTAACAGGGGATAGGATGGGGTGGGGGGTCTTGAGAGAGTCCTGAGTCTTCTCTTCCCTCCCCTGCAGGTCCCCTCAAGCTGGTGCCCTCTGCTGACCTAAAAGCTCCCCGTTCCATGGTGGCTGCATTTGACTATAACCCCCGGGAGAGCTCCCCCAACATGGACGTGGAGGTGAGGACCCTCAGATGGAGCCCAGTGAAAGAGGCGAGTGGCAGGACCTCTCTCGGCCTGATGCCTGCCTCTTGCTGTCTACAGGCAGAGCTGCCCTTCCGGGCAGGGGACGTGATTACCGTGTTCGGGGGCATGGACGATGACGGTTTCTACTATGTGAGAACATTGTGTGGGGGCGTGTGCACCACACTCCATCTGCCAGAGCTGGGCAGGGAGCTGGATGGGGGATCCTGATGGAAGCCTGGGGGAATGGAGCAGTGATTTGGGCCCCTGTCCTTCCCCAGGGGCCTCAGGGTCGAGGGGGCAGGGCTGGGGCCTCTTTCCTGGTCTGTCTCACCAGCCTCTTCTCCTCAGGGTGAATTAAATGGACAAAGGGGCCTGGTTCCATCCAACTTTCTGGAGGGCCTTGGGCCTGAGTCAGGCAGCCTGGACAGGGAGTCCGGAACACCCCAAGCTGAGAGCCAGGTCAGTGAGGAGCTGGGCCCCACCTCGCAGTGTGGTCTCCACCCTGCTGGTGTGGCTGTGGGGCCAGGACGGTGTTTCGGGAGACGTGTAGCAGGGTGATAACTGTGTCCAGGGTGGAGCTCCCGATTTACTGCTCAAGGGGAGCCCTGTCGGGCAGCTCTCCCCAGTATGTGTCCCTCTCTGCAGGGGGGCGATAGCTGTGTCCTTGACCCCCAGGCCATCTGACCCAGCTGCCAACACCCTGGGGCTGATGCAAGTGGGGAACCCTATGGAAAAAGACCCTCTGCGCCCACACCTCTAGCCAGTCATCGTGCCTGTTTCAGGGTCCTCCCACCCTACTGGATCTTCCTGCCTCCCAGGTGCCTTTAGAAGCCAGTTGCCCAGTCAGGCCCAGCCTCCTGGGTTCTCATTCCTAGAGTTTGCCTCTCCTTGGGTGGGTGGAGCACCATTAAGCCTCCACCCTCAGACCCCAGGGAGAGTTGAAGAGGCCAAGCCCCAACCCGAAAACCCAGGGCTTCCATGTGCAGTAGTTCTACACAGGCCATCTTGTAGCGGGATGGAAGGAGAGCACGTGGGTCTGTGGATAACCCGTCTCCCCTCTTTGTTCCCTGTTCTCAGAGAACGAGGAGGCGAAGAGTCCAGTGCTAGATGGAGATAGATATATGTAGAGAGAGCAACATGTAAGTGGGGGACTGGCCCTCTGTGTGACCCCCGCGCCCACTTGACCAAAATCAGACAAAGCACGCCTTTGTCTCCAAAGCTGGAGCTGACCTAGCTTTTCCACTTTCTTCCAGGGAAAGGGGAGGGAGATCTTGTCATGAGCCAGATTTGCTTGTAGAATCACCCCTCCCCCTCCCTGCTTCTCTTGCCTTGGCTTTACCCTGGGCAGTGCCAGCTGTCATAGGAATACATGTCATCTTATTTTTATTTTATTTTATTTTATTTTTGAGTTGGAGTCTCACTCTGTTGCTTAGACTGGAGTGCAGTGGCACGCTCATGGGTTTGACAGCCTCAGCCTGTTGGTCTCAGGCAATCCTTCTGCCTCAGCCTTCCAAGTAGCTGGAACTACAGGCATGTGCCACCATGCCCGGCTAATTTTTCTTGATTTATTGTAAAGACGAGGTCTTGTCAAGTTACCCGGGCTGGTCTTGAACCCGTGGGCTCAGGCAATTCTCTCACCTCGGCCTCCCAAATTGCTGGGATTATAGCTGTGAGCCACCACGCCCGGCCTACATGTCATCTTAGTATGTGATGTCTCATATTAGCTGATGCCTCCTATTCTATAACACGTGCAGCTTGTAGCACATTACATGGCATCCATGTTATGACTCATCAGTGGTATTATGATACTCTATGACTGTGGTATTATAATATTGTAATTGTTATTGATGACAAGATGACACTATAATGCCACTATAACAGTCTTCTCTCCTTCTGCATCGTGACCTATCAAGGGTGTCCGATGTGGATTTTACTACAACTCTCAATTTTTTCTGCTTGGAGGCTAAAAATGGGGGCCTTGAATAATTGAGATCCACAGATAACCCCAAGCCATTTTTCTCTGGGTCTCAGAAACCCCCTTCCTTTGTCTCCCCAACAACCTCCTTCTCCCGTGATGTTGTGGAAGGAGCCCCGGGAGGGTGTGGAAGGCCTGGGGCTCCCCAGGGAAAGATGCTCTGACTTCTAGGCCTGAGCAGGTCTCTTTGTGTGCAGCCCTGCCTCCTTGCCAGGGCCTTGGAGAGGAGAGGTTGGCTTTACCAGTGCACCCACTTTCCTTGTCTCTGGTTTGGGCTCTGTAACTGGTTCTGACTGGGAGCCTGCCAGGCTCTGGGCAGCAAGTGGGGGCTTGAGGAAGGGAGCGGGGGGGAAGACATGCAGGTTGGCACGAGCTGACAAGGCCATGCCAGCTACAGAAGGTGTAGGTAAGGGTGTGGGAATGTAGTTGCAGGAGACTTTCTGGTGGCTTCTCTGTTCCCCAACTCCCTGTCCTTAGGCCACTAAGGAGCACTGCTTAGGTGGGCCTGAGGCTGAGGGAGTGGCTCAGGGTTGCAGATGAAGCTAGGAGGAGATTCTTCGAGGGAGTTGATGCTCAAGGAGAGGAGTATGGCCTCCAGAGCTTATGGTGGGGGCTGAGGGATGCCCCAGCTGTGAGTCCCTTTGGGCTCTGGCCTCCCTGCAGTCCTCTGGAGCCCTTAAGGGAGATCCAGATCCCCACCCCCCTGGAGTGGTACTGGCTCCACTTCTTGACATCCTCAGGGCACTCCTTGGATGTGGGGGAAGGGCCTCCCTGGAGGGGCCAGCTGCTTTTCTCCTTTACTGGGAGGGGGATGACATGTGGGAAGTTGGGGCTCTCATCCTGAGAGACAGGTTCTGAGAACTCTTGAGCTCTGTCAGCCCAGCCCCCTGTAGAGAGAAAGCAATGGGCTTGCCTAGGGTCACAAGTGAACAAAGCAGAATGGAGACTGTGTCCCATCGGACTCCCGGCTCAGTGCTCCCTAAGTATCCTCCCACATTCGCCTCCTGTGCTCTGTGTGTCCAGGCAATGGTGGATGGTGAGGCTCCAGCTCTTGGTCATGGTTCTATGATATGGCAGGCTGCAGGCCCCTGAACTTCTAGAGAAAGGGAGGGGGAGGGGCAGGGAGTCAGGCCCTGACCTTGCCCCTTCTCTCTCACATTCCAGGACGGGGTCAGTACGACACAAGGCCCCTGGGCTCCCCTAGCCTGGCCCTGAGCCTCCATCCCTGGCAGTCCCCCCAGGATTGAACTGAGGGAGCCACAGGGCACAAGTGAGAAGGTACGGGGTCTCCTCTCCAAGGGGAAGCAACTCCTCAGGAAACTGGGCTCTGGGAAGAAGGAGTGAAGCTGTGGCCTACCCTGTGGGCAGAAGAGGTCCTTGGAGGCCCCCAGATCACTGCCCTGGCTGAGCAGGGAAGGCTCACACTCGGCCCAGAACTCCTGTTCTTCTGAGTTAACACTGTGGTACTTGGACGGGAATCACAGAGACTTGGTGAAGGTCAGAGCTGGATAAGTCCTTAAGGATGAATCCTCTAGATGGGCACCTTCCTCTGACAGGAGGGGAAACTGAGTCCCATCGTGAGTAAGTAGCCTGGCCAAGGTCAGTGAGCACCTCAATCAGAGCCAGGACTGGATTCAGGACCCGTGACTCCTGGTCCAACACCTCCTCAATGCTGTGCTAGTCCCTTCTGTGGGCCTCCCATCTCCCAGGGTCCCAGGATGGGATCCTGGAGGGAGAAAGGGGTCGTTCCCTCTGATGGCTCTGGCTATCCTGATCATGTCTTCCCTACCCTGAAGGAAAGTTTGCACTGGATTCTCCTGGAGCCCCACCTCCCCAAGGGCAGGTGGGCGGAGCCATGTATATATGTACATACTCAGTGCCTCAGTCCAGCTTCCTCCATCTCGCTACCACTGCACAGGCCCGGGAAGGAGAAAGGCCATGCCAAAGCGGGCCTCACCCCGCCCCCATCGTGCTCCACCCCTCCCTGCCAGGGCCTCCTGGCCCCTGTGTGGTTCCATCCCCAAGACCCAGGGGGCCGTCAGGCAGAAAGCAGGAGTTGGGTTTGCCTTATTTTGCTCATTGGATTCAACTTCTCTTTTGCATCATTTTCCTCTGGCCCCTGTTGGAGTCCAGGGGCTGGGGAAGAGGACAGATTTATGCAGCTATTTTCATACATTCCCTGTTCAGAGTGGGGTGGGGGAGTTCTCCACCTTTACCTTAACCATCCCATCCCCAAACCTCTACTGGGTGAGTGTTTCTTTGCATGTTTCCTTCACTGTGGTGGGAGATTGTTTGACTGAATCCCCACCCCCACCTTGGTCTCCAGGGGTGTGGAATGGTGGGAGTATTTGTTTAAAAAGACATTTTATTATAATAAAGCCTATTTTCACAAAATCTATGCTGGACTGTTCCTGGGCAAAGGACTTCTTGGAGGGGTGGGTCATGCTGGGCTTTGTATTCTTGACTTTAGAACACAGAAGTTATATCTAAAGGGTGACTGGGGTAAAAACTAATCAACACCAAGCAGCTTTTGAGTTCCTTTTCCTAAGAAGAAGTTTTAACAGCCTCCTGAGCCCTTGATCACAAGGTCAGGTATCTGAGGTTGGGGCAGCATTGTGGAGGGAGAAAGGGAACAGGAAATATAAAGGGAGAGGGTGTCAGTTTCAAGATGGTGGTGGACTGAGCATGCAATCTTTCTTCCCCTGTATCAAATGCACAGAAATAATATATGTGAGAGAAACAGGACAAACAAGCAAACACCATACATAATTCCATTTGAAAGCAAGAAAAGGGACTTTTAGTAGGTTAGAAGCAGCATGATTCTGGAAAAGGCAGAAAACAGATGGCAGATTATACTCAAACTTCGGAGCAGAGGGCTGGGTGTGGTGGCTCGCCCTTGTAATCCCAGCACTTTGGGAGGCTGAGGCAGGAGGATCACTTGAGGCCAGAAGTTTGAGATCAGTTGGGCAACATAGTGGACCCAATCTCTATAAAATTAAAAAAAAAAATTAGCCAGTGTGGTCGCATGTACCTGCAGTCCCAACTACTTGGGAGGCTCAGGCAAGAGGATCATTTGAGCCCAGGAGTTCAAGGCTGCAGTGAGCTATGATCTCATCACTGCCCTCCAGCCTGGGTGGCAGAGTGAGACACTGTCTCTAAAAAAAAAAAATAAAAGAGAGAAAAAATACCTGGCCGCAGTGACTCACGACTGTAATTCCAGCACTTTGGGAGGTGAAGGTGAGAGGATTGCCTGAGCCCAGGGATTCAAGACCTGCCTGGGCAACTTGGTAAGACCTCATCTCTACCATAAAATCAAAAAATTAGCAAGGCATGGTGGCATGCGACTATGGTTCCAGCTACTTGGAGGGCTGAAGTTGAAGAATCGCCTGAGCCCCGCAGGTTGAAGCTGCAGTGGCTGTGTGTGCCACTCTGATTGAAAACAAAAAACAAAGAAAAGAAAAAGAAAAAAGAAACTTCAAAGCAGGTGTATGTGGGAGAGTTCTGAATGATGCTCTGGGCCTAGAGGTGATGTAAACAGGGCAGAAGAGACCCCAGGGGCTACTAGCTGAAGTTTGTTGTGGGGAGCAGCCAGTTGGATTGACCATTGGTCAAGGGACAAGGTGGAAGGCATCTGCCTTTAGGTGAGAAAAGTGGAGTGGCAGCTTGGATCAGAGACCAGGAAGTACTTTAGGTGACTGGTGACACCTGGCAGGAACAAGAAGCATCACTGCCCAGGTGAGGAGCCAACAAATCGCAGCATATTTGCACTCCTCCGTCTCTCACTGAAACCCTCCCAGTCATGGCAGTTCTCACCTAGCTGTCCAGCAGGGACTCTGAATCACAATGGCGAGAAAACAGTTAAGGCTCAAAAAATAATTGAGGAACGTTAGTGCCATTAAGAAAGACAACAAACGGGAAAGGAAAAATATACTTACAAGTCAATAAAGAATTGAAGACTTTAAAAAGACTGCAGCCAGGTTCGGTGGCTCAGCCTCTAATCCTGCGTCTTTGGGAGGCTGAGGTGAGTGGATTGCCTGAGCCTGCGGGTTCAAGACCTGCCTGGGCAACTTGGCGAGACCTCATCTTTACAATAAATAAAAAAATCAGCCAGGTGTGCTAGCGCATGCCTGTAATTCTGGCTACTCGGAAGGCTGAGACAAAAGGATCGCCGGAGCCCAGCAGGTCGAGGCTGCGGTGGCTGGGAGTGGCCACTGCACTCCAGTCTGGGCGACAGAGTAAGACTCCAACTCAAAAAAATAAAATAAAAATAAAAAGATTGCAGTTATTATTGGACAGAGAAAGGAAGGAATTACATAGGTGAAACAAGAACAAATAGTTATTAAAAAGATCCCAATAGGAATCTTTGAAAATTTCAAAACTATATATTCTTGTTAGAAAAGAACTCAACATATGAGTGAAAAGCACATAGTTCATGGCTAGATAAAATTAGTAAGCTTGAAATTTGACGTGAGGAATTCTCTGAGTGCTGTACAGAGGGATAAAGAGATTAACAAAATGAAAGAAAAGTTATACATAGAGGATAGCATCTAAAGTTTCAACATCTGTTCATGAGGCAGGAGCAGAGAGGAATAGAGAGCATGGGTGATCGAATAAATAATAAAGTACATTTTCTAAAACTGAAGAAAGACACAGATCCTTAGATTCAAAGGACTTACTGCATGTGAAGCTAATAAATAAATTAGAAGCAAAGAAAAAAATTAGAAGCAACCCAATTCATTTTTTGAGACTCATATAATCCTGTCACCAAAACTAGACAAGAATAGGACAAGAAAATAATATGACAGATTTATCTTGTTTATGAACACAGTAGTAAATATTCAAAATATAGCATTAGCAAATTAAATATAAATCATGACTAGTATCATTTATCTTATAAGGCAAAAATACCTCACCATTTCTATTATTAAATCTATTCATTCTAGCCAGGCTTGGTGACTCAATCTGTAATCCCGCACCTTGGGAGGCTGAGGTGAGTGAATTGCTTGAGCCCGTGGGTTCGAGACGTGCCTGGGCAACTTGACGAGACCTCATCTCTACAACAGATCAAAAAAATTAGCCAGGCATGGTAGCGTGTGCCTGTAGTTCCAGCTACTGGAAGGCTGAGGAGGAAGGATTGCCGGAGCCCAGCAGGTCGAGGCTGCGGTGGCCAGGAGCGGCCACTGCACTCCAGTCTGGGCGACAGAGTGAGGCTCCAACTCAAAAAAAATAAATAAATAAATAAAATAATAATCTATTCATTCTATTAATATTCATTAATATAATTCACTACTTTAACAGATCAAAGGAAAAAAAACCATAGAATCACTTCAAAAGATGTTGAAAAAACATTTGATAAGTTAAAGCATCTCTTCATAGTTTAAAAATATGTAACAGACAAGAAATATAAGGAAAATAACTTAATTTAATAAAGACACCCACACATTACCTGAAATTGATTTTTAACTTGAAATTTGATGTAAGCTGTCTCAAATATTAATATGACAACTAGGATAAAAGGGAAAATTCTATGAAACAAACAACTTACCCATAGGCAGCAAGGGAAAAACAGAAGCCCAGGTCTCATCGCAAGCTGGTCTCCCAAGGCTCAGGAAAGGCATCCAGGGAAGAGGGAATCTCATCTGCATGTGTGCCTCTTGCATCGCAGCTGTAGGACCCTAGAAAGTAGTCTGCCCTGGGTTTCATACCTTGGGGGCATCAGGAAACACTGGGATAAAGCATTGCAGGACATCTTGTTTCTGGGCAGGGGGACTGGAATAGAGTCGAGGTTGTTCTGATCTGTTCCTCCCTAACTCAGGATGTTGTGTTCCCAGCAAATTCTATAGTTATTCTTAAGAACTGCAAATGAGAAAGGGGAGCTACAGTGGTCCAGGGCCTTCTGGAGAACTGGTTTACAAAGAAAAAGATCTAGGATGAGGAAAATACTGACCTTGCATCCTGCAACCTTGCTAACTTCACTTATTAGTTCCAATAGTTTGCTTTTTTGTTTTTGAGTTGAAGTCTCACTCTGTCACCCAGGCTGGAGTACAGTGGCATACTCACAGCCACCCCAGCGTTCACCTGCTGGGCTCAGGTGTATGATACTTCCATCTCAGCTTTCCAAGTAACCAGAACTACAGTCGCGTGCTACCAAGCCCAGCTAATTGATTTATTGTAGAGAGGAGGTCTCACCATGTTGCCTAGGCTGGTTTCAAACCCGCGGACTCAGGCAATCCTCTCACGTCGGCCTCCCAGGGTGCTGGGATTACAGGTTTGAGCCACCGCATCCAGCCTCTAAGAGCTTGTTTGTAGTTCTTTGGAGTTTTTCTGTGTAGACAATTATATATCATTTGGGAATAGAGACACTTTTATTTTGTCCTTTACAATTTGTATGCCATTTATTATTATTTTTTCCTTGCCTATTGCACTGGTCAGGGAATTCAGTACAATGTTGGATAGAAGTGGTGAAAGTAGACATCTTTGCTTTCTTTCTAATATTTGGGGGAAAGCATTCAATTGTTTGCCATTAAGAATAATCTTGGCTGAGATGTTTGTTTTTGTTTTTGTAGATGTCCTTTTTTAGGTAGAGGAAGTTCCTTTTTTCCCTAGGTTGCTGAAAGATTTTATCTAGAGTGAATGCTGAATTTTGTCAAATGTTTGCTCTTTATTTACTAACCTGATCACATATCCTTTTTTCTTTAGGCTATTGATAAGCTAAATTAAACTGATTGGTGCTGGGTGTGGTGGCTCATGCCTATAATCCCAGCACTTTGGGAGGCTGAGGCGAGAGGATTGCCTGAACCCGAGGGCTGGAGACCAGCCTAGGCAACATGGTGAGACATTGTCTTCATAATAAATCAAGCAATTAGCCGGGTGTAGTAGTGTGCACCTTGCAGTTCCAGCTACTTGGAAGGCGGAGGCGGAAGGATTGCCTGAGCCCAGCAGGTTAATGCTGGTGTGGCTGTGAGCATGCCACTGCACTCTAACCTGGGCGATGGAGTGAAACTCCAACTCAAAAAAAAAAAAAGAAAAAGAAACTGACTGGTTTTCAAAAGTTGAAATAGATTTGCATTTCCAAGGTAAACCCCACTTGGTTATGATCATTTTTTTATTGCTGAATTCAATTTGCTACTATTTTGTTGAGAATTTTTGCTTATATGCTCGTGAATATTCTTTTCTTGTAATATCTTTGTCAGGTTTTAATATCAGAGTAAACTAGACTCATAAAATGAGTTAGGAAGTATCCATCATGTTCTACATTGTGGAAGAGATTGTGTAGGACTATTAATGGTACGAAAATGCTTGAGAAAACTTGCCAGTGAAGGCATCTAGGCCTGGAGTTTTCTTGGTTGGAAGTTTTTTTTTAACTATAAATTCATTGTTGCTAATAGACATAGGAC